GATGTGTAGTGAGAGAGGGGAGGTGCTCTGATGTCTCATCTTACAGGGACACTAATCCTATTGGGTCAGGACCCCATCCTTATTACCTCATTTAACCTTAATTACTTTCTGAGAGGCCCCATCTCCAAATACAGCCACATTGGGGGTTAGCACTTCAACATATCAATTTTTAGGGGGGGGCACAAACATTCAGCTCATAAGAGAAAGGTTTTGTATTTTTGGAAAAACTACTACACACACAAAAATCTTTATGCATCATATCAAGGGATTCATAATATTGATATGTCTTATTACTGCTGATATTTACCTTGATTATTGGTATAGGTTGGTGTCTGTTAGGTTTCTCCATTATAAAGTTACTATTTTTCCCTTTATAGTTAATAAGCATCTTGGACAGATACTTTGAGACTGAAAATCCTGTTTCTCCTCAAACTTTTGCTCACTCATTTTAGCATCCTCTGGTGAATCTTGTCTGCAACAGTTATTACTGGGGCATTTGCAATGATGATTCTCTATTTCCCCTTTCCATCTACATTTATTAATTAGAATTCAACTGTAAGGAAGAGCTGTCACTTCTCCTCTATTTATGTATTTGATTTTTATATTGGCATAGACTCACTGGGTATATTTCATTCTAGGGGTTAAAGTCAAACACCATCATTATTTATTGTTGTTCAAGTTATTCCATTTTGGGCCATTAGCAGCTCCTTCAGATTGACTCCTCTGTTTTGACAAGCCTCCATCTTTTTTGGGAGCATTTCTTTACCTTCTGACTTCACAAGATGTTCTAGACTCATCTTGTATTTTCCTTGCCCCAGCCTGCCCTGGAATCAACTTCTCCAAGGAGCCCTGGTTCCTTATGTTGGAGAATGGTGTTAGAAACCAATATCTGGTGCTAGGTGTGCTCATTGTTCTGGAGTGTCACTGCTTCTAGGCCCTCTCAGTGAACAGTTAGGAAATATATGAATGCATACTAACCCACACATACTCATATGTATATTTCCTAATCTATCTGTCTGAATATATATTAAAAACCATGAGTTTATACTGTTGCTTCTTATTCTAATCCAATGCCACAGGGTTTATTTTAGGCTTCCTCCTTTCAATGTCTTTCTCCAACAGTGAGAAACTTGACTCTCGTCATCTACAATTGACGTACTTATTGGTTCAATTCTAAGTATACATGTAAAGGTAGTTTCAGGATTGCTTATTCATATCCCTGTGAAAAACATTTTTACTAACTAGATTACAGCACTTAAGTCTTTAGCTTTTCAGTGCCCAGGGAAGATACTGCTTTCTAAGTTACTTAGGTTAGTTATTTTCTTTCCCATCCCCTTAAGTGTGGTCACGTTCTTCTTTTGTAACACATTTACTTTCCTTTGTTAGTATTTGCATTCCAGTTTGGGTTCCTTCCATTTCCTGGTTGATTTTAATCATTTGTTTATTTGGTGTTATGTGAAGGGTATGCAAGATATTACTGTAATTCTAAGAGTCAGATTTATACAAAAAGATATAATTAGAGAAATGTTTCTCCACTTCATCCCTGCTAGCTCATTCCTATTCCTCTCTTCTTTCTATCCCTTTCCATTAGGTAATCAGTCTCATTAGTTTTTGGTTTATCCTTCCAGTATTGCCTTTGTACAAATGAATAGATGTCTATGTATTTTCTTGTATCTCTTCTTTCTTAAGAGTAGCATGCTATAGATACTCTTTTGTGCTTTGTTTTTTCATTTTATAGTATTTCATGTAAATCACTCCATAAAAGTTCATAGAGCTCTTCCTCATTCTTTTCTTATAGCTACTTAGTATTCCACTGTGTGGACATACTATGGTTTTTTCAACCACTCTCCTATGAATGGGCACTTAGGTTGTTTCCAATACTTTGCAATTAAAAACAATATTGTAATTAATAAACTTTTGTATATATATTTTCATATTTTTGGAGGCATATCTTCAAGGATAGATTCTTAGAAATAGAATTGCTGGCCCCATTGGTTGAAAGGTAAATACATTCATAATTTTGTTAGACATTGCCAAATTTCCCTCTGGAAGAATTGTACCAATTTGCATTCCTGGCAGCAATGTGTGAACATGCCTATTTCCTCAGTCTTTCCAACAGAATGTGTTGTCATATTCTTAAACCTCTTCCAGTCTAACTAATGAGAAATGGCATCTGAGTAGTTTTAATTTGCATTTATCTAATTTTGAGTGAATTTGAGCATTTTTCACGTTCGAAGATCATTTTTCTATCTTTAATGGTGAATTGTCTGTTCACGCATTTTCTTGTTTTTCTGTTGGGTTTTTGGTCCTTTCTTATACTTTTTTTTTTTTTGGTGAGGAAGATTGGCCCCAAGCTGTTGCCAATCTTTCTCTTTTTGGTTGAGGAAGAGTGGCCCTGAGCTAACATCTGTTCCCATCTTCCTCTATTTTGTATGTGGGATGCCACCATAGCATGGCTTGATGAGTGGTGTAGGTCTGCGCTTGGGATCCAAACCCACAAACCCGTGAACCCGGGCTGCCAAAGCAGAGCACGCCAAACTTAACCACTATGCCACCAGGCTGGCCCCTCCTTACTTATACTTTTAACAAAATCTCTCAGTTATTGTGCTAAGTACAGATTGTAGGAGGACATTAGTGGAAGCAGGGAGAGTTAGTTGTTTATTTCAATAATCCAGATGAGAAATAATGAAAGCTAGTCACAATAGAGGTGGTGAACAATGGTTTGACCCCAGGTAGAATTTGAGCGTAAACCAAGACAGTTTCCTAACAGACTCACTGTAGGGTATGAGAAAAAGAGAAATCAAGGTGGACTTCAACTGTTTCCACTTGAATAAGAGGAAGCCTGAATTTGTCATTAACTGAGATAGAGAAGATCTTGATTAAAGCAAATTTCGAGTGTGGATAATCAGAAGCTGGGTTTGGCCTGTGTTGATTTTGAGATGCCCATTAGACTTATAAGTGGAAGTGTCAAGAAGGCAGTTAGATATACAATGTTGAAGTTCAGAGGGGAGATCCTGAATATGGGTGGTATTTTGACCCATGAGAACTAGATGAGATCATTACATAAGTATACATGTAAAGTAAAAGACATACAAGGACTGAGCTGTAACTCCAACATTAAGAGATCATGGAGAAGGGGAGGAGTCAGCCAAAGAGACCGAGCAAGAGCAGTCAATAAGGTAGTAGGAAAACCAGGAGAGTATGGTATCTTGGAAGCAGAGCAAAGAACAGATTTCAATGACAGACTGATAAAAAGTGTCAAATGCTACTGACAGGTCAAGTAAGGTAAAGACTAAGAACTGACCATTAGATTTAGCCATATGATAGTTGTTGGAGACCTTGAAAAACACAGCTTTAATGGAGTGGTAAAGATAAAACCCTAATTTGAGTGAATTTCAGAAATGAGATGGTAGGAGTTTGAAACCATCAGAATAGACAAATTTTGGAAATTTTGCTGTAAAAAATTCAAGCCACATTTCAGTGCCATGGAATACAATATCAGAAGAAATGTGGATGTTTGATGATTTCATGAGCAGCAAAGCCTTAATAAAGAAGCAGAAAAATCAAAAGGAGCAAGTAGGCTGAAACAAAGAGGTAAGAAAATGAAATGGAAGATAGATGCAATATGTCTATTGGGATGATTTTAGTTGAATTTATTTTATTTAACAAACATTGATATATTGCTTACTACGTGTTAGGCACTATTCAAGGATGTATAAATACAATTCATTTAATATTCTCTTCTTCCAATCCTCAGAATTCATTCAAGATGGTCCTTTTCCCAACGTTTAAATGTACTCAGATATGAGCCCATAATTTTATCTTCTTCTCTGTTTATACTATCTTCCTAAGTCAGGTTATCCAGACCTATGACTTCAAATAATATCTATTTACTGATAGCCTTTAATTACCTCCTAGCCCCAACATTTACTATTTTAGCTTGATGGTAATATAAAGTTTTAATTTTTAGTATTTTAGCTGTCTTTTCTATTTTTCTACAATGTACATGTACTGCTTCTTTAATAAGAAAATGTTAAAATTTTTTCAAACGAGGTAGTGATTCATGACATTATGTTCCCACTGACAGATAAATTAAGACTGACAATTGACCACCGGATCTGGCAACATGGAAGTCACTGGAGTCCTTGACAAGATCCACTTTGGTGGAGTAGGGGGAACAAAACCTGACTAGACTAGTTTGGCAGTTTCTCAAAATGTTGAAGAAAGAGTTAGGATACGACCCAGCAATGACACTCCTAGGTATATACCCAAGATAACTGAAAACATGTCCACACAAAAAGTGGTACCCAAACACTCATAGCAACGTAACATCCTAGTACCCAAAAGTGTAAACAACCTAAATGTCCATAAACAGATGAACAGATAAACAAAGTGTGGTATATCCATACAATGAATTATTATAGGGCAGTTAAAAAAGAATTACTTACTAATACACACTACAGCATGAATGAACCTTGAAAACATTAAGTGAAAGAAACCAGTCACAAAAGAAAATATATTGAATGATTCATTCTATGCATACAAATATCTACAAGTGGCAGAGAGACAGAAAGTGTATTAGTGATTGTCTAAGACTGAGGAATGGAGGGTCTGGGGAGCTACTGCTAATGGGTATGAGGTTTTTGGGGGGTTGATGAAAATGTTCTAAAGTTAGATCATGTTGATGGTTACACAACTCTGTGAATAAAAACCAGTAAATTGTACACATTCAAAGGGTGAATTTTATATGTGAATTACCTCAATAAAGCTGTTACACAAAAAAATAAGGCAAGAGAATCTAGTTGATGGTCAGTTTGCATTTGTTCAACTCCCTCTGACTGATTTTCTGACTGTTTTCTCTTTTGTTGCCAAGGTACAGGTTTTATTTGATCTTACTTCTAGGACTTTGTTAATCATTTTTTTAATAACCTTTTCCTCCTTCCCCTTAATCCCTATCCCCACACCACTCCCAAACTCTCCAAATCAAAGATAACCAGATGGAAAAGTGTTTGCCTCTATTAAGAAAAACTACACTTTACAATTTTAAAAAGTATTAAATATGGCCATTGTTCAGATTTACTTTTCACACAATCTAAGTCACATATGTAGACATTCAAAAAGAAAAAGAAGCCTTTGCCTAGGAATAATAACATACCACTTTAACCAAACAATACATTATATAGCCTGAATTCTAAAACCTATTTTGGATTATATGAAACTTACTTCATAAAAGTTACAAAACAAGTGTCCCTCACTCTTGAGAAATGTTTGAATTTTGAAGTAATGCTTCTATAATACATTTTTCTTTCATAAAATTAAAAATTTACAAGTAGAAGGTATCATCATTTCATGGATAAAGAGATTAAGTGAGTACATACACAAGCTCATTGGCAAAGCTAAATTCAGAGCTGATTTCTTGGATTGTAAAATTTCAACAGTACACAATAATTATCTATTGTTGAAATAACACCTGAGCAATTTAGCCAAAGATACAAACAATAACAAAAACTTAGCACAAATATTCAAACTTGGGGAATTCTAGTTAAAATAACAGAAAAATAGAAAATTTTTCTTTCCAAAAAAGTATCTAGACAAAGATTCAGATAGCCCATGTAAATTATTCACAAGAGTCATATATGAATCAACCTTTTCTGTATTCCTTAAATAAAATTTTATAATCAACTAATGAAAAAACAAATTTCATATTCAAAACACTTTCAGAATGTGTCTATAACTTAATGCAAAAGTATATGGAAAAAACAGCTATTTCACTGAAGTCTTTAAGTATAGCAACATTTTATTATTTTTGCTGCATCTTCTTACGCATTTCTTCAAGAGCTGCTTCTTTCTCTCTCAGCACCTGCTTAAGTCTTCTTATTTTTTCATCTCGAATGGTTTCTTCCAACTCTGGTGGTGTCATGGGGAAAACATCTTCAGTATAATTTTTATTAAAGGAATGACTTTGTTCAAAAGCTGCATTTGAACTCAATGTGCCTTTCTCCTGGTTCTCACGGGTACAGTGTTCCATCTCAGTTCTCTTTTCTTCTCTGGTTTTGTTGCAGCTTGTGAGAATGTTACGGCGTGATACATCTGAAGTTGGTAAAATACTGCTAACGACTTGGGAACTGATGACATTAATTCCTCCATTTACAGCTGTGTTATAAGCACTCTCAGTTTTTCTCTTCTTTGTGTGATCCATCTTCTTAACGGTTTTTGCTTTTCTTTTCTTATCAAAACCCTGCTGCAACAGTGGGTAAGATTCCAAAAGAAAAAATATTATTGCTACATATATAGTGCACTTTCAAATTTAAGAAAGTTTGCAAATACAAATATTAAGCAATTAAATTCAACTCAACAAAATACATTGAGAACAACTACAGCAAGAAATTAATGTTTACCATTAATTTCTTATGGTATGAATAGCAACAGCTTCACGATATTCGCTGAGAATAAATCGCTTAATTCACATTTTCCTGCTCAAGTCAGGAAGCTGTATTGATTTACCACCAAAATATAACAGCCATTTGTGAAGAGCCTGAGAAATAGAATTTAGTTATTTATTTATTTTCCTGTACATGGTAGGCACATATGGAAGATGTTCATTGGGAAAGGCTGACTGGACTCTGATCTGAAGTTCAGGATATTAAACAATATAATCATGATATATTTATAAGTAGAATGACAGTGGGAAAAGCTATAGGGATGTTTCTTTTCATCATTATTAACCATGTAGATTTCTCCAGATGCTTGTATTAAGAGTAACATTGCAATGAATATTTGCCTGCTTATATTTTCCCTACACTTGGATTATTTATTTTAGATACGGTCTTCAAAGTAGGATAACCAGTTAAAAAGCTATGACCATTTTCTTATAATTTTATGATGAAACAAACAGTAGGTGAATAAAAACACTTAAGACATCTTTAACTGGGATGCATTTTTAGCTGTTCATATATGGTTCTTTTTAATACTGTTTTGGTATAATACATATATATGCAAAGTTGGTAATAACTATCATTCATATTAATGCACAAGACTAAAAAACCAAAATAAAGAAAATTAATACATTCATGTATCTTTGGAGCACCTACAAAGGACATTTTAAAATCTATTACCTGTTTTCTCTCTTCCTCCTTCACTATAAACTCTGTCTTTTTGTAAGTATCACTCTTCACCAAACTGCTAAAGGAATCAAAACCTTCACCAGAGCCCAAATGGTCAGGAATCCGAGTAAGGCACACTCTCAGATCTTTAGTAAGACCAAATATCTTTTTAAATTCAGCATCATTCTTCAGATATGATGCCTTATTGCTTCTCCCTTGAGAATTTTTCTTGTCATTTCTTTCTTGAGTAATTTTTTCTAATGTTGATGCCATCTCACACTGGATCTGGAATCAGGAAAAGAAAACACACAAACAATACTGCCAATTACTCAAGCTATTTATCAAACTAGCAACTAAGTAATTACCTCATCTTACTTAAAATATCATGCTTTAAAGTCCTAAATGTTTGGTTGGCATTACCCTTGAAAAACTCACACTTGAAAAACTGAACTTAACTGAGTACAAACTTAATATGTTCCTTTACAATTTCTCATTTATTTTACTTTCTTGCACTAGAAAGGTAACAGGTAATCAATTCTCAAACAACTGAAATGAGAATATAGACTAATGACAAGTTAAAAATAATCTACACGGCATTCTTTGGAAATTATTGTCTTCTAGAAAAGTCTTCTGCCTTTAATCAATCCTATACTTAATCAGAATTTACCTCCTTCCTTCTTTGGAGTTCAACAAATTCTGTCCTGAAGGGGAGAAACACTGACACTATTAAGTAGATTTCTAAGTAAGGAAAAGGTGGGTACAAATATTTAGTGAGCACAGACACGTATCTTAAGTAGAACAGAAAGGTAACTATGTGGACATGTTGGGTAATTGGATGAGGAGTCAGAAAGAAAGGCTAAAAAAAGGAAAAGGAAACTTGTCTACTTAAAAAAAAAAAACCCAAAGTTGTTGATAAATCCTAATTCCACAAATGACTGAAAGGTACTGATTAGCCCTATCTTACCCTTTCTACCATCTACCTAAAAAAATTGACAGTTATCTCCCTACCACCACAAAAACAAAAATCCCCAGCCTCTCCTATATGCTTAATATTGATCTCTTCATATACTAAAAGTAGGCTATTAAATATATATGTGTGTATACATATGTATGTGTACAAATTATGTATGTGTATACAGACACACACCATTTTACTAAGCTTTAAATCACATTATCCTCCTACAACTCTTCTAACTTGTTGCTCTGTGTTTTTTTTTATTTGTTTGTTTGATTTTATTTTCAAGATTTGGCATGCCAAATGATTCAAAAGATATTGCTTAGATTCTCTCAGTTATATTCCTCCTAAAACATTTCCTTCAGATGAAAACTCTAATTAAGCACTCATGCATGTATGTTATGTGTGTGATGGAGTGGAAGATGGGAGAGGAGGGGAGAAAGTATTACAGATAACTAACTGAGAATTAAGAAAAAAAAATTTCTAGATAGATAAAAAGAACACCCTGACATGGGAAAATTACCTTTGGTTCTTGGTCTCTGAAAACACACTGTTGTGAAGTAACAGTTGTTGCATCAACAGAGGAACTTATTTTCTCTATGCTCTGGATGATATTTCCTTCTCTGGGGGCATTCTGTCCTGTACTAAATCCACCTGGAAAATCTGGCTTTGTGAATACAGTCTTACTCTGTTTTAAGTAGTTAATGGACTGGTTCATATTATGTGGGTTTGGGATAGAAAGAGATGGTTTCTCCACTTTTTTATTCTTCTCTGCCCTTAGATTGGCCATGGAAGCAAGCTGGGTATTTGAAAGTGATTTTGTCTCCATCTGGGAAGACTTACTTTTAGCCAAAACAAAATTTACAACCTCTCTGGATATTTCTGTGACTGGACTTGAACTCACTATCTGTGATGTATCTTTTCTTGGTGGAATATCAGGAGAAACAGAATTCTGTTGGTCAATTTGTGATGGCAAAACATCTGTCCCCTTTTTAGCCAATAGATAGACTTTCCCATTAAACATAACCAAAGCATTATCTTTAATAGGCATACTTTTGGATTGTGTCCCACTAGGACTGACGGTACTCAATGGTGGCATATTTATAGTATTATCTCCCAAATTTTTCCTATCTACAAAAGTTTTTAAAATCTTTGAAGCCACATTATTTGAAGACTTAACAGGAACAAGAGATGGAGTGCAAGGCTGTAGATTTTCTTGAAAAATCCATTTCACTGGAGCAGCTTGAGAATGCTGACCACCTTTTAATTGTGTCTCTTTAGCAATATTCATTGGAATTTGTGTGGTATTTAAGATCACTGGCTTTGCTATTTCTGTAACAGGTTTTGGGTAAATGTTTTGAAAGTTCTTGGTCACTACATTTTTCACTGTATTTACAGGAGATACATAAATAACAGATGGTATTTGGGAGGCCTCAACTGTTCCTGAGGTACTTGTGGTTGCAGTTGCAAGTATCTTTTGCTGAACTGAAGGAGGCAATGATGACGCTGGTACAGATTTCACTTCAGCATGGGCTGGAATCTGTAAATGATGCCCAGAAGGCAAAACTGGAGACTTCACAGTCATTGGAAGACTCTGAGTATTTACTAAAATATAAGATGAATCATTTTGTGTTGAGGAGGGAGAAACAGCAAATGTTTGCATGGTGAGTCCATCAATTTTCACACCATGACTCTGAACTTTAGAGACTGATGAGGTAAAATTTTCAGTTCCCACAGAAGTAACTCTAACTTTTTCTGCTGTATCTACTGTTCTTGTAAGAAAACAGTTTGAAGAACTGGCTGGCTGAAAAATGGGCAATTGAACTGATGTACTTGTGGAAGAGCTGGAAATCTGAGTCTGAAAAGTAACTTGAACTGGGTTTCCTGTATTCCCTTTCAAAGCATCAGACATGACTGGAGATTGAACTAGTGGTATAAGATTTCCAGAGGAATTGGGAATTGGAAGTAACTGCAGAAGATTTTTTCCATCCGAGCCAATCGTCTGAACTACTTGGTACATGCAGCCTGAAACACTTAAAAGAACATGGAGTAAATAAATACAACATACTATATGGTATACACATTTTATTTAAAAACAAATATTTGCAAATATTACTTTAAAAATATAAAAACTTATAAGATATAATAAAAGTATATATAATTTGTCACTTTGAGTTTTCAAAGTGAAATATTGCAAAACAAAGATTTTGAAGAAGGAAAAGATACAATCAAAGATATGGTCAGTTTTGATTTAGATCTTCTCACATGATTAGGCAAAGAGAATGAGATATTAACACTTATTCCTAAAACTAAAAGCAGACTTTTCTAAGGTTTTACCCTGTATAAAATTATGCCTTACAGAATATGCCCCTCTTAAACTATTAGCATCCACCCTTCTTCTTTTCTTTGAATTCTTTCCTCTTCTCTTCCTCCTTTTCTCTTATTGACCAGGATTCTTATTTCACCTCTATTTATGCTGATTCTATTTCCCTCACTCTTTTCTCCCCCCTACCCAATCTGTTCTATGTTCTTCCCACCGACAATGACTCACAAGTTCTAATGTCAGCCATTCTTTCACTTAAGGCATCTCTTATGGTGATACCTTGGTATGCCATATTTTTGGGACTAAACTGAGTTACTCAAGCAGGAACCATTTTCTTCTTTTATTTATCAATTGTTCCAGCACATTTGAAGTCTGGCGCTAAACAGCCTTTGGTACGGCAATTATTCATATTAGTTCCAATTGCGGGTCAATCCATATATATAACAGCAATGCCATTTCAACTGAATGGCTTTCGATGAATGTGTGACACATTGGAAGTTAATAATTTTTTTTTTTTTTTACCTAGACAATTTAGAACCTGATACTTACAAGCTATTTCTTAGTACACACTGTCTGATTTTTTAAAAATCCAATATATACCAGTCTCTACTTGTATAATCAATTATTTGTAGATTTCTTAAATGTAGACACTTTGAGTTATTTATACCTAAAACTACCTTTCAGTTCGTGGAAAATACCAAGCCCTCATGGGATTCAGGACCATCACACATGCTCTCTCTCTACCTAGGTACTCCTGTCCTACCCACATAACTCAAGTCTCAGCATAAATGGTCCTTCCCAAGAGATACATTCTCTGACCACCTTAACTACTCTTGCCCCTCCTTCACTATTAGTCTATAATATTACATGTTAATTTCCTTCATGATACATATCACAAGTTATCATCATATGTTAATCTGTTTGTTCACAGTCTACAGACTGTCTCTCATGCTAAATTCTAGCAACATGAGTGCAGAGTCCATGTCCTATAGACCCAGTATGGCCTTATATGGTAAGATCAAATGAAGAAAAACATTTAAGGGCAAAGAATAATAATAATTCGAATTCTTAACAGTGTAAAGGTGTGTTTTACCACCTATAGGCGTTTTTAAAACCTCAGGTATTAAGAAAAATCAAAGCCAAAAATTCTATTTTTGTTTTTAGGGCTTGAAGAGACCACCTTCATCACCTCTCCACCCCCCAAAAAACACATATAAACTGGATCTGAACTTATTCAACTTTAATTTATTAAACAAAAATTTACTGAGTGTTATGGGGAACATAGGCACCATGCTCAGTTATGGGGAAAGGGCCAGTAAACTATAGTCTGTGGGCCAAATCTGGCCTTCTCCTTGTTTTTGTGCAGCCCACAAGCTAATGATTTTATATTTTTAAATGATTTTTTAAAAAATCACAAGAATAATATTTTGTGATATGTGAAAATTATATGTAGTTTAAATTTCAGTATCCATACAGTTTTATTAGTACACAGTCACACTCATTTTTTTATGTATTGTATATGGCTGCTTTCATGCTACAAAAGCAGAGTTGAGTAGTTACAGCAGAGATCACATAGCCTGGAAAGTCTAAAATATTTACTATCTGGTCCTTTACTGAAAACGTTTGCTTACTTCCAAGCCAGTTCAACCCACAATCCCTGAGAGAACTTAAACTACTGGGTACATGGACCTGTAAATAGGCAATTATCATTAAGTGAGATAAATGATGTATTTGTATGAACACAAAAATGCTTGCTCCTTTTCTTAAAACATTCTCTTTCCAAGGCTTCCTAGACATGACATTCTCCTACCTCTGTAGTGACTCCTTCTCAATCTTCTTTGCCAATTCATTCTACTTGAATCAACCTTCAAATGTCAGAGTGGAGGCTAAATGGGGTCAAAGAAGACATCTTTCTTTTTCCCTTTTTTTTTTTAAGGTTAGATGAACCAGAGCATAGATAAATGCTCATATGAGTCATCAAGAGGAAGAGATTGGTAATAAAGGAGAAAGAGGGAAAATTAAGTGTAAGGTTTGATCAGGAGGTGGGAAACGGGAACCAGAAGACAGGTGGAGGGATTGACCCTTAAAGAGAGCTGGAGAAATATCTCCTTCCATTGGAACTGGCAGAGAGGCTAGGTGCATTTGCAGGTACGTTTATAGCTTTGGTGTCAGAAGGCTGAGGTAATTCTGATCTAATGGCTTTTATTTTCTCTATGAAAATGATGTGACACCATCTGCTAAATAGAAGAGCAAAAATAGGGAGAAATTTGAGGAGAATCAAAAAGAGTTGACAAAGTCTTTGTGAGAGAATAAGCTGACCTTGAAAACATTAGTCATCAAGCAGTGTTGATGGCCCAGGGAGATAGATAGTGATTATGAATTTATAGTGATACCAATCTGTGCTCTTGTGAGATTTTCCTTATTTCACCAGGTATAGACAAAGGGAAAGCAAATCACTGAGTTCATCCAGAGTTGGGGTGGCTTCAGAAGAAGATGGGTGCAACATAAATCAAAGAGGAACAAAAGAGTTTAGAGTACTGATAAAAATTATTAAAATGATGAAACATAAGAATCTAAACTGGATGGGAAGGAAATGAGAACATAAAAGGCTAACGTATAAGGAGAGAATAAATGATTATTGGACTGAAGAGCCAGATAAAGAACAGTTAGAGTGGGAGTACTAAACAAGTAAGCTAGAAATATAGGAACCAGTGATTAGACAGCAGGATGCCTAAATCACGAATTCCGTAGATGCAGCTATTTCATCTGATAACAAGAACTACAGAAGTGGATGGCTGGTGATAGAATGGAGAATAAGATCACTGGAGAAAAAGACCTTTGTACTGAAAGACCAAGTGACAAAGAGGTTATCCATATAGATGCTGAAGTCATGTAGGATTAGAGAGAAGACTGTGATCTAGGTGTCAAGTTGAGTGACAGGAAGTTAATAGATGGCATTAATGAACCCTAATTAAGACCATCTACCAACTTCCTGTCACTGATACGCCAGAAAGTTGTCTCGAAGCCCACTCTCTTCTGCAGTCTATTTTCTTTCCCCATTATTCTACTACATCTCATTCTCAAAGACTACCAAATATGTCTTCATAGTTAAATCTGTCTTTACTCTATCCTCGTTCCCTAGGTGCTCGCTGCTGAAATTGACACTGCTAGCTAATTATCCCTCCATCTTGAACCTCTATCATGATTTCCATCGTGCACAATTTGTTTTGTCTTTCCTAATATTCCCTTTCTCATTCATTTTCTGCATTTTAAGCATCCAACTATGACTATTCCCCAAAGCACTGTTCTTGACCCTGTTCCTCCTTCAAGACATTCTTCCTTTAAAGACTGCACCAATTTTCGTGGCTTCAACTACTTCCTCCAATTATCTCCTTTGCAATAATGATGCTCATAGTTATATCTTTTTGTTTCTATCCCCTAATATTGACCTCAGTTCCATATTTGTGATGAATTACCAAACATTTTCACTTTTAATACCATCACTTTAAACTTTAAATTACTCTCTACTGAAAACTAGTACTCTATTAGACCATCCAGTCATGTGTCAGGACTATTATTTTCCAAGTCACCTAGGTTTTAAACCACATAGTCATCTCTGACTTATTTTTGTCATCCTTCTTATTCACCTTTGATTCACCCACAGCGCCTTGTATAGATGCTTACAAAGGGTAAACATTCAATAAATGTACACTGAATGAATCACCAAGTCTATAAAGTGTTTTTCTTTTTACAGCTCTTACTCATCTTCACTTTTATCACCGTTGCCACTTCAACTACCTAGTTCAGACCTTCATCACTTTGTTGCTAGTCCTCATTATCTCACCTTTATATTTTGCTCTGACTTTTAAACTAGTTTTTCTGACTGCAGCCACTATTTGTATGTATCTCTGGCAGATTAAATCATTGTTTTCATCCTGTTAACTCCTTACGCAAAGTTTCAATAATTCATCATCGCCAATTCAGCTTGACATGAAAATCATCTACAGTCTAGCCCCAACCAATCTCTACAACAGTACCACCCATAACTTTTCAACATGAAATCTCCAGTCTTACCAGAGATCTCTTTGCTATTCTGGATTATCCCATGTACATTATTTACTCTAAGTATTCCTCAAGTTATTTTTTTCTTCCTCAACAAATTACAATGTAGTTATAAACTGAGGATCAATTCCATGTTCTCCATAATATATCTGCTAGTCACTCAAACTCACATTAATTTCTTCCAACTTGAAATCCCTAAAGCACTCCCACTGGTGCCTCTAATGCTAGGAGTTATATATCACCTTCTATATTGCCTTTGATCTATTAATTTTATTTTTTAAAAATTATTATTTTTGTGTGTGTGTGAGGAAGATCAGCCCTGAGCTAACATTCATGCCAATCCTCCTCTTTTTGCTGAGGAAGACTGGCCCTGGGCTAACTTTCGTGCCCATCTTCCTCTACTTTATATGGGACGCCACCACAGCATGGCTTGACAAGTGGTGCGTTGGTATGCACCTGGGATCCAAACCCGGGCCTCCAGCAGCAGAGCTTGCTCACTTAACTGCTATGCCATGGGGCCGCCCCCTCTATTAATTAATTTTAAAAAGTGAGTATTGTTTTCCTCAATGAGACTGAAATTCCTTATGGTCAGAGACTATATCATTTATTTTATAATTGTTCTTCCAATACCAAGCACAGTAGGCCCTG